GCTTCTCAATATATTTGTTTACGTGACACTGTAAAGTGTAATAACATCGCTGAATAAAATACCTACAAACATTTGTAACCAGGCCAAGTGTTCACCCGCCCTCACGTGACTCTGGTTCCTTTTCTTTGTGCAGTCATTGAGTCAATGGACACACTGATCCATTCCATTCCGTTTTGAACGTACTTTCGCGGAACACGTGCGCGGCCGTATGCATAAGTAACTCTGACTAGCGCCCGCTTGCAGCTTACCATTTTTTTTTTTTTTGTTCTCACAGTCCCACGCCGGGTTTTACGCGCTGAATTTGAATATGTTGCATCCTCACTTTTGTTCGCATTGCATGCCAGACATTCTTTTGCGTATTTTCTGAGTTTTCTCGCTAAGAAAAACGCGCGGGTTGCTGATTTCAATCCAGCTTCGGCCAGAGATAACGTATCCCTTTTAGCCTGTGCTGATGTCAATGACATTTCTGGCAGCCTGGAGCTTACGGGCCCGGGAGCCATGAACCAGCAGTCCAACTGGTGAGTTGCAATTCTTTATAAATGAACATACATGTACTTGGATAGATAAACGATCTTTTAACGTTGTAGGCGTAAGCAATTTTGTAGGATTTGCTTCTCATTCAATCAGGTTACAAATAATTACCTGTATGAGCTTGAAGAATTATCTCACAGCAATGGATGGTTGTTTGTTCAGAAACTTATAATTTTATTGTCCGTAATTGGACATTTGTTTCGCACACGAGGTGAATTGAATCTTGTACAACGGACTCTGTAGTGAGCTTTAATGTTGCAGGGAACAACCAAGCAGAATCCTGTTCTGTTACAACTAAGGAAAATTGAAACCTTCATAACGTTTACCTTAAGTTGGTTAGTTTAACCATTGTATGAACTTTCAAGAGTGGGTAGTTTCAGACATTTGTCTTTCTGAGCTAGTTTCTTGAGGCCGCTCCATTTCCTTGAGATTTTGTAAGATTACAAAAACATATTAACTCAGTCGAATACCTCTTATATAAGAACCAGAAGCGTATTATCAATGGTAAAATATTATTTTATACTTTAAACTTGCAATCAAATTGCAAATAAAATTCTTTTCATGAATACATGGACCATTCCTGGTACGTTAGGTAATGTGGTGCAGATAATATACAGTAAGGAGGCTGGGAATCACTGTCCTAGAACAATTAACTTTAAGCCTGTAAGAACGAAACAAAATTTCATATAATTTATTTTCTTTAACTTTGAGACAGTGGTCACCATCCCTGTTGACTATTGCCATTGATACACCCTAAGAAAACTTTGTACATTCATTGGAACTAGCTGCTTCCCCCAATCCTTCTTTCTGAGTGGATCCACTCAGTAACAAATGATAGAAACGAGTCGATGTTGGCACCTAAGCAATTTTCAGCTTTCTGTTAATTGTTCGTATGAAAGATAACATTTTGTTCGGGTCACAGAAAGTACAGGAATTGTTCAGGTCACAGGGAGTAAAGAAATTGGTCAGTTGGTAAAACATCATCTTGCTGTTTGTTGTTGATATTTACTGTAATTATTACTATCATGATAATTAGTTTTGTGAAAGAAGAAAGAAGCTTTTAAATTATAAATGATCCACAAAATTGAGATCAACCAAATGCAATGAAAATTGTTGGCATGTGGTCTGACACTGATAGAAAACACGCACGCTAGACTTAGGTCTCACGTCACTGTTTATCTATACAAGGTTGGAGTACACATTTCTCAAACACAAATGTAAGTTTTGTCTGGTTACTAATCTTTCAATTTCTTTTCAATTTGTTGTGGGTTAACCAATTTCATTTTTAATTATTCTTACAAAACAAAATCACCCCCGAATCTTTCCTAAGTCTGATTGCAGCAATTTTTCAAGTGGCAACCCTCAACTTTCTCCGGCACTCGGGACCATTTTTCAACCGTAGTTTTTAGCCATTATGAAAGCTCAAAGACCTAAGGAGTTGATCGTGGCAACGATTTACACAATCTCGCCATTGTGGGTGCCAAACAATCTCCTTTTTTCCAAAAGATACTGTGGGTGGGGGCACTTTTAATGCTAATGAATTAATGGACTGCACCCTTCCACTACACCCTCTGTGACGGCATTTTCACCAGATCCGGCGTTATGTCAGCTACTGATGAACAACCTGGTAAACAAACAAAAAATATAAACATTCGACTGAAATCCTGAGCATGATGTATCTGGCCTAATGTTTAAAAATAACAATGACGAATACATGGTGAACTGTGTGCCGAACGTAAGACAGTATCCGCCTTGAGCAGAAGCACCCCCTCATCGGTTTAATAGAGCCATGTTGGTCAGGGGGTTCCCATTTTGTTGGTGGCCATGTAACGCGTGCCTTTCCTAGTCGTTCGTAAACCAGCGAAGTTCAATTCCGACCAAATGAGTCTCCGTTGCTAAGAAAATTACACCCTCTCTTGGTCTAGCTCATATTAATGTTGCTCATCAGGTCGAGTTGAACTTAGTCCAAACTGACCAGAAACATCACATGCCGACTTCGAAAAAGACCGATCAGAAGTCCCAAAAGAAAAACACAATCACAAACTGACAAAACTCGAGGCAAAATCAACCCCAGCCAACCCAAAACCGACCCCCCCAAAAAAACCCAATCTGGCTCAGACTCAATAATCTTTCAGCATTTCGTCCACTTCTCTTTGCCCGGACTAATCCGCGTTGTGTTATTTTTGGGGGGAAATCATCGCAAGATCTCTTAACAATTACTATAAAAATTTCATGTCTCTCTTGGAATTTTATAGCCATTTGTGGACTTATAAGACTTAAAGGTTTGTGGACTGTAGAAATTAATAAAAGAGAAAAAGGCAGGCACCTCGGTCATACCGTGCACTGTGACTCTGCATTGAAAATACACGATGTGAAACTCTGGACTATTTTTTCCGGTTTACGTCGGCTTACTTATTGGATTTTTCCCCAAAGCGGCTAATCACCGAGACCGATTCCACCCGACTGAAAAGGAGGAAAACCGATCCGATCCGATATGACTGGCAGTCGGTTTAGGGTCAGGTCGGTTTCGGATCAGATTTGCACTACACTATCATACCACTCAACGCCATAGCTCTGCTCAACTCATCTCGAAGGATTTCCAAGACCTGCTTTACTCCTGCTGCGCCCTGAAAAAAAATGAAAAGACAGAAAAAACCCATTAATTCTCAAATTCGAAACGCACAATGACTTCAAGACTTAAGGTCGTTTCACACGTTGCGAAAAAGCGATCACAAACGCGAAGTAATGAGGGCAGGGCAGCTCAACGGTGCTGCAAATTATCGAAAGGCGAACACACTTCAACTCGAGAAGTTTCGCTGCAAATCTTTCATGACGTAAAATTCACTTCGCTTTCACGTTCGCCTGTAGCATGGCCTCGTCTGAATCATTTGGCTGCGGCTTGAAATTACACACGAGTCTATGGTAGTGGCCGCGGCCAGTTCCCGTAGAGTTGTGTGTAATTCCCGGCCTTAGCCAAGTGATCGGACACGGCCCATGAACCGACCTTTATACTTAGATTGGTTTTTGAAATACAAGACGAAAAGAATGCGATCAATAGGAATCGATAGTTCATTAATTTTCGGGTAGAAAACACAAAAATCATACTGAACTTAGAAGAAGTTTATCGGGAATCTGAAAAAGCAACACCTTCACTGTATATGCATTTTGCT